CGTGTGCGTGTGTGTGTGTCTGTGTGTGTGTGTGTGTGTGTGTGTGTACCAGCCAGTTTGATGATGCCAGCGATCCAGTAAACCTTCATGGGCAGCCCGCTGTCAGTGTTCGGCACCTCGACCCGGATGCCTTCGCTGATGCCTCCCCACGACTTTCCCATCGGGACCTGACAAACACACAAAAATAAAATTAACGAAACATCCGACCGCACACACGGCTCCGGTTTCTGATTCCCGAGGTCTGAGATCGACCCCGAGCGAGACGCACGTCCTGCTTTACAGCTCAAACAAATTCACACGACAAACTGAAGCAGCGGCGAGGTCGTCTGAGCTTCCTGTCTGTCGATTCAAAGGTGAGACGCATCACCTGCATACGTGACACGCTTCACGAGAACACTGGTGATCCAAGCGTGAATCAGTGAAAACTGTGCAGGGTTAAAGCTGCAACGTTTGACCTTTGACCTCATGTTTGAATCTCACAAACGCTGGTGGCTCTGTAGTCAGGGGGCGGAGCTTCTTTCTGATGATTAACGCAGTGAACTCGTTTCATCACAGTGAGAAGGACTCTGCTTGTACCCACATGTTGGAAACAGCTAACCGGCGCTCCCATTACATCTCCGTCTCCAAGGTAACGACCCCAGTCGAACAGCTCCATGGACACTGCGAAGAAAACAGAAGGCGTGATGTGAAACCTGACACGTTCAAGAAAAAGTGCTCAGAGGCACAACGGCAGGAAAGACTCAACTCTGAGAATGAACTGATGCAGAGCAGAGGTCATCCGCTGTGCGATTTAAAAATCACATTTATCACTCTTTGAAAAGGTCGACCGCGTCGTTCTTACTTCCTGCCGTACGTGTCAAACATGAGCTCGGTGCGTGTGCACTCATGCCCCGTCACACACGCCGAACCCTCATGTTGTTTTTTTCTCATCACGGATCAGTATGATGTCACATGGAGCAGACAGAAGCCCCACCCACCTGCTCTTCAAATACTTTGCAGCCAATCAAAAGAAAGTTATTTTAAAGGGGGAGGGACTAGAAGAGCCACACCTACAATCTGACCGTGTTTGTGTTTAACATGTAACCAATGAGAAAGTCGATTTCAGTCCCAGCGTGGACGTGTCGGCGCTGCTGAACTCACCGCTCTTCTTGACCCCGCCCTGCTGGTTGGCCTGCTGCTGAGCGTAGGCGGCGAGCTTGGTCATCAGAGGCTGCTTCTGCAGAACCTTGGCTTTCTTGGTTGGAGGCTTTCCCTGACAAACACAGACACGCGGAGCCCGTCACACTAACATAACAAAAGGCAAAGTGCTCCCACACCCCCGTTACCTGCAGCCTGGCGAGGATGCTGGCCTTCTTGGAGTTGGACGAGTAGCTCCTGGAGCACGAGACGCTGCAGAAACGTTTGGTTTTGCTGTAGAAGGCGTCTCTGACGCCGACCATGCCGCACATCTCACAGGTCGCTGAGGAGAGCAGAGAGAGAGCAACTGAGGACGCAGATCGACCGACTCAGACAACCAGGTCCTGATTCTAGACGTGAACTGACCCATGCCGGCCTTCCCGTCAGGGTACGTGTACACCTGACCGTTGGTCTTGATGAGCGTCAGTGAAGAGGAGGGGTTTAGCTGAGTGACCCCTCCTCCTCCTAACTCTTCGTCCTCGCTGTCCTCGGGACTGGAGGCGCCGCTCCCCCCGCTGGACTCGGTGCTGCAGCTGCTCCGGTCCTCATCCAGACCGTCCAGCATTCCGAACGAGTCCCGCCGCTTCCGGGACTGACGCTCCACCTGAGGACGGAAGAGAGTCTAAAGTCACAAAGACCCCAAAAAGCCATTTACCCCATTAAAACTGTATTTAATCCACAAAAACACACCACAAATATTTTATTAAATGTTCTCAGGTTATAACAACAAAGATCTGTGAAGGTCATGAATATTGTTCCTTCTCTGTTCCTCTGACCTCTACCCATCATCACGTCGCAGCAGAGGGTTTGGAGCTCCTGCAGCGCTGCAGCACAGAGAGGCTGACTGACAGCACAAAGACAGAGAAGCCACAACACCGGGTCACCTCCAGGAATTCCCCTCACTTCCGCTCGCTCTGAGCCCCGACACCGGGGTTAAACCTGTGCACCCCCCCGCCCCCTCTGCCGCCCCCAGCATTAAATTCGGCGGCATTAAATTTGTGCAGCACTGCAGTCTGTTCCTGGAAAAGCCGTTTTTCGGTGCTGATCCACGGTGACGCTCCGCGCTCTGAATGTACGAGTATGTAGCGGGAAAAAGCAAAACGATAAACACGTTCACTTTTTATTTAATTAAAACGTGTTTACCGGAATACATGCATGCCGAATTAAAAAACATGTTGTCAGGTTTATGAAACTTTTTATAGACAACATCCAGTCCAATGTTTGTCTTTGGAAACAAGCAGCAAAACTAATACCGAAGGACTTTCAAAGGAGATCTGACACGAGATTTTGGCCATAACAGGTAAAGTGAATATAAATCTACGTTTTGGCCGGTTACATAACTACTCCAGTCTTTATATAGATACAGAATTAAACTCTGAGTTGACCTTGTTACCAACTGATGAAATGTATCTTGCATTTGAACATGTGTTTCTGTCAATGAACAAAAGTATCTTAAATTTAACGATTTCTCAATGGAGTTTTGCTTTAACACTCAGTCCGCGGTCGCTTTTAAGCAGTCCCTAAAGCAAGCATTGAAAATGAAGGAAGACCCGCTTCCGGGCGGCTCAGGGAGCCCCGGGACTCACCAGGTCTCTGGGGTTTTCCATCAGGTGGGGTCGTGAAAGGAGGACGCTCTCTGACAGCAGAACCCGCAGGAACAATCATTAAAGACCAGCGGCAGACATGTCAACAAAACACCAACTGCTTCGCTGCGCAGGCGCTCGACAGGCTGACGCTGATTGGCTGAGGCTACTGCTTCGTGTTATTTAATAAGAAATGATGAGTCCTCCAGGGACCCCTGCTGGTTAGACGGTGAAGCGCCAATAATGAGATAAATACGAACAGGTAAAACAAACACAGTGTAGAAATAAACGGAACAAACAGCGTTCCGGTCGCCAGTACCGTCTGACCTGATCTTAATATAAATAAATAAATAAATAAATAAATAAATAAATATATAGTCATTTCATCTTCCTTCATGAGGTATGTGTGTGCTTCTGTCTGCCATGACTCTGCAGTCAGAGCGCTGCTGGTGCCGACAGAGATAAGCTCAGACAGAACCACTCGGACGGAAAATCGGGAGTGGGTTTGTGATTCCCTCTGATCAGAGTCTAACGGACAAATACGTTCGCTTTAAAAAAGAAAGGCTGAACTGCAGCTGTTGCCCTGTAAGCGTGAGGAGGATGGAGGAGTTGTACAGCGATATCCACAGGTAGGCATGACAACCCCAGTCAAACAACTCCATAGATACTGTGAAGAAAACAGAAGGTGTCATGTGCAAGAGAAACCCAACACGTTCATCAAGAACTGCTCAGTGGCTCAAAGGCATTTCCACATTTTCTGTGTCCTGTAAACTCAGTCTTTCACTGAGTGTGATCCTGTGATCGGGCATCATGGAGTGGGTGAGAGGTCCAGCATTGTCCTTGGACAGCATCTGTAGTTTCACTGTTTTTGGGGTAGAACAGGTCACCTACTCATCAGAAGGAAGTCTGCATGCCAAATATCCTCAGGCAAGATATTAACCCCAATTATGACAGAAAGCACGTACCTAAAAAAGCAAAGTGTTTGTGCGCTTTCTACAACAGGTTTGAGACGGACAACATCATCCATAAGGAGTCCACATCCTCACTCAAACCTGGCAGCTCTCCACTCACCTTCAGGACTGAGGATGTGGTGAGAGCCCTCAGGAGGACCAGAGAGAGGAGCTCACCCGGCCCTGACAACATCAGCAGTCGAGTTCTGAGCCACTGTGCAGGGCACCTAGGAAGTGTGTTCGGACAGTCACACCGTCCCCCAGCTGTGGAAACACTCCACAGTCATCCTCATCCCCAAAAGAAACAACACAAAGTCTCTGAATGATCTTCGTCCTGTGGCCCTCACCTCCCTGGTGATGAAGGCGAAGGAGAAGATCATAAAACAGCACATCGTAAGAGCAACTGACCCCCTGATGGATCCACTACAGTTTGCTTACCGTGCACGCAGAGGCGTCGATGATGCAAAAACCTTCATCTTGGACTCCATCCACAAACATCTGGAGCTCCCTGACTCCACCAGACTTCTGTTTGCTGATTTCTCATCAGCGTTCAACTCTCTGCAGCCTCACATCCTGCCCACTAAACGATTTCACCTGATGATCAGCTGATCCTGTGGATATTGGACTTTTTGACCAACAGGAGACGGGAAAGAAGTTTTTCTTTCCCGTCTCCGTTCCACCTCCCATGGCTTCTCCCAGGGCTGTGTGCTCTCCCCCTGCTCTTCATCATCTACACCGATGACTGCAGATCCACACAGCCCAGTTGTCAATTAAATTAAATT